AGATAGAATCTATATGGAGAACAAATTAATAACTAGATTTGGTACGTTGTCTCCATATGGATTGAACCAAATCCATAGTTTTACTTAGCTGCCATGTCTTTTTCCTGTTTGGTTTTTCCAATTATGTTTGAATCACTTCCTTTCTACATCTCTTTACTTTGTTTTTGTCACGTTTAAGCGCCCTCTCCTATATTTTTTCTGTTTTAGGTAGGATATATATATTGACATTATGTAAATTTAATTTATACTTATTTAAATGTGTTGTGTTTGTTTGTACTGATGAAGGCATGTGCCGAAACGTTTAATTCTGTATATTGTACAATTATTATTAAAGCTAACTCATATTGTTCTATTGACACAATTTGTTCGTGTCTTATTAATATATTTTAAAGCTTTATTGCAGTCCAACACTTTTTATAATTAGTTAAACAAAAAAAAATAGCAACAATATACCAAAATCATGTGATCGATACCTGGAAGTTGATTTATAATTCTTTTATGTTTTGTTTTTATAAAATCAATGCCAGTACCATTTTTTTCCCACTCTCAATATTATCTTTTGTCTTTTACAGGTTTCAGGATTTCCACTCAACATCCCTTACACAGATATGAACAGCATCACAGAAACAGTTTTCTCTACAGGTGTGCATGCCCAGGAGACAAGTGATGTGGAATTTGTACTGGCTGTCTACGTACATGGCTACACCAATAATGTTATTTCCATATGGATTTATGTAGCATCTCTCATACGACTAAGGTAGAAAGTATTCTAAATCGAAATGGTCATATTTGATTGTTTTTAATTGAATAATAACCACAGGAATCAACAGAGAGGTGAAGATGCTTCACTTGAAGAGAACTTGAAAAGTAACTTTTGGGTCCAGTTGTTTTTGTTCTTTATTTCCACAGTGCTCTACGTGTCTTTATTGCATTTATAATTAAAATGCTTCAAGAATATCATTTAAACCAATGTAGGTGTTTTTGCTGACATATACTTGATATATTTATTTGTGTCATTGATACTGTTGATAGGCAATTAGTCAGTCTTATGTTAAAGCTCTTAATTTTTCTTTGAAAAAGGTATAAGAGCATGGTCATTTCCGTCAATGTGACCTGATTTTATATAAAGGTTCACACTATTACTATTATATTATGCATCTTTTTTATTTAGGAGTACCCATTTAATATATAATTATTTTTTTAATAGCTTCATTGCAACAATGGTGATGAAAAAAATATGAAATGAAATTCACTTATGAAGCAAAAATATTAAATGTACAAAATATAAAACTACACAAAGATATTTTTTAAATATGATTTGACATATTATTGGCTTCAAGTTATATCAATAGCACACTTCATCTAACAAAATTATTACCGGTACTACTCTTCAAGTAAAATATCAGGAAGCTAAATGAATTAAAAAATATATTATTACAGAAGAGGAATATGCATAACATGCTGTACAGCTAAGCCTAATCAGGCTTTATTTTGTGAATATTAGTGTAAAGGGCTTGATTTCTTTATTTTATTTAACTTAAATGTTTTGTAGAAATGTTTTCTTAGGTTTTAGATGCAAATGACCTCAAACTTAGTGCTACATGTACATTTAGTAAATCTCTTAAGCCAATTTCTATGTTCAGATAACTTAAATTAGTAATAGTAAAAGTTATTAAACATTCATTTACATTACAGGATTATGTAATGTCTAGGAATTATTGTAATTTCATAGTATTTAAGATGAGGATGAAATATTTTATATAAGATACCAGCTGTGATAACTTGTTGGATGGGTCTAACCTATTATTTTTGTATACATTTCAATAAATATGTATTTAATAAAAAATTTAATAATAATGGTATTGTATATTATTTTTAAATTTAATTTACTTTTTTAAAAAATTCAAAATGCTAATAGTTGGCAATCCACATTGTTTATAATGAGCAACAATAAAAGCGAACGTAAGATCAATTAATTGAATGTAATTTTGTAATTTTTATGATCAATTAAATTTAAAAATTACAAAACCTACATCATCATTTTTAAATGCATTAACATTTCACATGTTCACAAACATTCTTTCACAGAAACAATCATTTATAAGATAATAAAGTATTTCAAACGCTCACAGATGATAAGAAAAAGCATTACAAAAATTGTCACAAACAAGATTTAATTAAGTCAGTTATTGCATTTACTGTAGCTGGTGTTGTGTCTTTGAGAGCCAGTGTCAGAATCACTGGTACAGGGGGATTCAGGGATGTCACTATTGTTTTAGCCATCACATGTGTTATTGGCTGAAAATTACATCTTAAAAAATCAAAAGCAAGATCAAAATAGATACATTGATGAAAAAAAAAATTTAATGCAAAATAATAGACTTAAGTGTTTTTCCCACCCTTTTCCACACCCCTCCCATACATTGCACAAGCAAGAAAAGTAGGTTTAATATTTTTTAAGCCTTTTAATAAAGGCTAGAGCAGGGATGGCACAATTTCACAAAGAGGGCCATTGTGTTTTTTTGTCCCTAAACTAGGACCTAGAATTTAGTTTAAATTGCAATGTTGATTAAATTATTTATTCAACATAAATTGATTTTGGGCTGCAGTGTGGGTACTTGGTCTCTAAAAGGTTTGCCATGTCTAGGCTAGAGCATCATAGTTTACTTAAACTCATCAGAAACAAAAGAAATTGCATCATTACCTCATCTTTGCCCAAAAGAACTTTTGTAGAAAATAAAGAAACATTTTCCTGATACTCATCTGTCACAGTATCTCTTGTCACTTGAATCTGAAAATTATACATGTTATGGTTTAAATTTTGCTTGATGTATTGGTAAGTTACTCTGGTTTTCAATGTGTTATTTTAATTTTACTAACGCTTTAAATTTGAATTGAAACTTCATTCTAATTAATGTTCCAATCTATTATTTAAAATAATTTTAAAATGCTTTACAAAAATGATACTGTGTAATTAAAAACATTAATGGTTACAGCTTTTAAATAACATTTTTATTTTTTAACTATAAAAACCAATCTCAAAAATATTTCAGGAACACATTGTTAAAAAGAAAAATTCGTTAACAATGGAAAAGAAGAATTAAAGCAGAATTATTGATAACTGAATAATCCTATTTAATCTTTTAGCCCACTTAAAAATGGTAAATGTAAATGTGTTCCAGCCCTTGAGCTATTGAATCCTTTTCATGCAGTCCTGACATGAAGCCACTGGAGTAAAAGTGATTTTCTTCTAAAACAGGTCAAGATAAAACAATCATTATTTCAACTGCGCTAAATATTATTATGAAAATTATGATTAAAGACAATTTTTGCTGCCTTATTAATTGATAATTATCTTTAAAATTAGATAAGTACCCAACTTACTATTGTCCCAAGTTTCATAAACTGTGTTGCAATAATAAACAGATGATCCTCAAATTTATTTACAACAACCTCTGTGTGATAACCAGAAATCTCAGAAGCAGTCTGAAAAGAAACATAAATGCTTACAAATCTAAATCCTACATATTTTAATGACAAATCTTATTTATATGCTATACTATATGAACATTGATATTGAGAAGGATAAATTAAATTTATAATATTTTTAATGAGTTGGCAACACTGGATGCCATATTGATGCAATGCCTGTCATTGTTTGGCCAGTAGGCTATTATTAATTAAATCTATCAAGTCTATGGTCTATATATATATGTTGAAAACTATACTGTAGCAGCGGTAAAAAAATTGACATCTGGAACTTTGGAATGAGTAAATGCATCTCTTTTCTTTACTTTATTTTTAAATATTTAATTAGGCCTACTATAAGGCGTGCTACTGATAAATAAATAAATAGTCTTATTTGATTTAAAGTAGGCCTAATCAGAGGAAAAATATTATTGCCCCAAATGCTGCTGTATATATTAATATATAGGTTATATTCCATACTTAAAGTAGTAGTAAAGGGGATGTCATTCATCAATATTACTAATTTAGTGGAACAACATAAGTATCCTATATTATAATTTAGTGTAATTATTTCATAATTTCTTTGTGTACCTATACTGGCTGTCACACTTTCTTTGTGGTAATTTATGATTTTGTTGAGGTGTTTGATTTTGATTTGGTCTGGGGTTGGTTGCAAAGTAACCTATTATAAACAAAAGGTAATCTGGTGTCCACACAAAGAATTTTGAAAATATGTGGATGCGTTCAAACTGATTAACAGTTTGGCACAAGCATCGATCTTTACCCATCATATTTATTATTTATATAAATGTACTATAGACTATAGTAATAGTATAATTAATATTTGAAATTAAGATGCATGAGTTCATGTTCGTTTTCAGGGAGATGATATAAACTGTTTTCTTTTCATTAAGATAAATAATTACCCATCAAATTTGGAGAATTATAAATGAGGCCTGAGAGGGAAATGGGTGAGTGCCGTGGTTCAATAAAAATTTAAAAATTGTCATACTTGCTTAGATGGAACAATTGACGATCTTAAAGTGATAGCAGCCGCCATGTCTAAACAAAGAATAATCAAAACACAACATTTTTAGTCGTAACAAAACAAATAAAGTATCATAGAGCGCTACTACATTTATAAATCATATATTTAAATTTTATAATTTGTATAATAAAATTTCATTTTTAATTAAAATCTATTGTATTATTTGGGGGAAATGTATAATGATGTTTAATAAAATTAAATTATGCATTCGTTAAACTTAAATTGATTTTTTTTTTTAAAGGGAAGGTACTCTAAGGAAAGACAAATCCAAAGTTCCCATCAATGCAATAATTCCAGCTGTTAATTGAAAATACTGAATTGTTTGTTTTTTTCGGCTTTCTTTTTTTATTTATTTAAATTAAATAATGTCTTTAGCGCTCGATATTCTTACAGCTGCATATGCAGCTACCATTGCTGCAGGTGGTATAATAGGCTACGTCAAAGCTGGTAAGTCAGAACTCTCTGCTCAGGAGATAGACATCCAAAAAACTGACAAGACGAATACATATATATTTATATAATTATAACTTTATAACTATAACATTAAAAAACTCAGAAAGTAAAATCAAGGTTCAGGGTGAATATGCAAGGCAAGGGAATTTCAGATTAGACTGAATCGTATGATATTTAACCAATTTGGAGGGAGTTATAAGAAGTCATAAAACATACTGACACCTGAGGAACAAAAACAGGATACTTTCTTAGGGAAACTGAAGACCCACAACCACAATGGGCACTCTCTACAACTACAAGCAACCCCTTCAAAATCTTGCATATGCTGATGACATAGCACTGTTAGTCGTAAAATTAATAAAGATATATCGAAAGCTTTTATTGAATTAGTTGACATATCACTACAAGGAAGACTGGAAGTTAACAACCAAAAAAAACAAAATACATGACCATGTTAAGACAGATGAAAATGAAACCATTAAATTTAGAAACCGCACTTTTTAGAGATTAAATCAACTGAAATACCTAGGATATTGATTAAATGAAAGAAAAAAATTACTAACAGAAATAACAGAAAGGATACTGGCCGGAAATGGGGCATACTTCATTAGTCAGAAAATACTCAAAAGTAAAAACATTACAAGAAAAGCAAAGAAAACTATATGATTATACGGTATATAAAACTGTAATCAGACTCTCACTCAGACTCTACCTTCTGCGCCCCCCCGGATGATTTGAGACCCCTGACTTAGAACGAATGCCTAATGATAGATGAGTGAAGAGGAAAACAGCAGACCTAGGCTTAGATGGATGGATCAAGTGGAGAGGGATCTACAAGCATGGAAAAGAAAAGCATCAGTTAGGTCGAGGGGTGAAGGATGTGATGAGGCAGGCCACACATACACCAGACATACTTTTGATATTTTTTTTTAAAAATCTTGTTTTGCGCAGTTATCTTTAACTTTAATTTTATTTCATGGAATCAGTGTCATCATAATTCCTTCATCTTCCCCTTGAAGAACAGGAAAAACTTATTTTTGGGTTTGGGGCTGAAAAATTGAAAGAATGTATGTGTTTTCATCGACAATGAGTCTATGTGCCAAGTTTCGGCTCTATAGGTTGATGGGAAGTGGGTCAATTAGCCCAGTGAAGATTTTTTCCTTAAGACACAAAAGCGAAGTATATATAAAGGATTTAATACAAATAAACATTTAGCTGTATCCTTTTTTTTTTTTTTTTTTAGGTTTTTCTTTACTTTGTTTTTCTTTTTTCTTTTTTCGGTGTTCCTTGTTTACAGATATCCCACCGCCCACCAATAGAATAGTAATAGTTAAATGAATGTTTAACAAATTGTTTTTCCTTTCTTTTTTTTTTTTTTTTTTTTTGTTTTTTTTTTTTTTTTTTTTTTTAGGTTTTTCTGTACTTTGTTTTGCTCTTTTCATATTACCTAACCTGATTGCAGTCTCTCCCCCATATTACCATGCATTTAACTACCATACCAGTATTTGAAAATGGTTACTCTATGGGTAAATTTGAAAATACTCACAATGGGATTTTTAACATTCGTATGCTAGTTTTCACTAGGTTACATGTTCATTTAATTTGATCCTTTTTAAAAGGTAAATTTATGTTGTTTTTCCCTAGGAAGTGTTCCTTCATTAGCTATGGGTGTAGCTTGTGGAACATTGATGATGTATGGAGCTTACCAAATGGGACAGGATCCTAAAAATATCACAGTATCCTTAGGTATGTTAAAGTTATAAAATATAAAAATGTACCTTCACTCATTACTGGTCATCTACTGCATCCTGGTCTATTTCTAGTCGTCTAGACTAAGACTTGCCATTGAATTAAATAGGCAACTTCTGCAAGGATGAGAGACTGAGGTTGACTAATTGAGCAACTCTTCCTCACTTTAAATTTAAATAAAGTAAAGCTTTCTATTTATCAAGTCAAAAATTGCCTTGGTCATTATGACATGTGAAGGACGAACAATAAAACCTTCATTTTATATATTAGCGGTATATTGAATTGATACAGTACATGGAAACAATTTTTTAAGGCTATTTTCTTAAATTCCGAGTTTCTTTTTCTAATGTTATAATTAATTACTTGAATTTTCTGCATCACGGTGAATCACAGATAAAATTCAATTTCAAGTTTCAGTACCCAGCATTTAAAATAAATGTTGTACTCTTAGATGTACTCTTATATTTTGTTTCCAGTAACCTCAGCTGTGCTCACTGGTGTTATGGGTTATAGATTCTCTAACAGTGGTAAATTCATGCCTGCTGGACTTGTTGGAGCACTCAGGTAAATAAATTGAAATTTAGTGTTTGGCTTTTAAAATATATCACTTAATGCAGAACTTAACCATTTGAATGGATAAAGGATTGCTTGTATGGATACTTTGCATGAAAGTTGAAAGGGGCACATTGTGTATGAAGGCTTTCTTTTTCCTATGTCATTAAATGGTTGATCAAGTCACATTGAGTGTAAAAGTAATAGAGTTAAAATATAGATCAAGATTTTCAAATTTAAAGAAACCTAATATGTTGTGTGATAAATTTGTAATTAAAACATAACCGTTTCAATACATAACATGGAATAAAAGCATGAATAGAGAAAACTCAAAATAGTGTTTAATCTGTATTTATACCATTCAATCATTTGTTAATATCCATGGAATAGATACATTATTCAAAAATGCCTTGTTAACTCATAATTTCACTTCATTGGAAATAAGGATTTTTTTTGTACTGACTTATAAATGGAATGACTTAATATTTAAGAATTATGGCTCAGACAAATTAATGTATGAGAATTTTTCAAAATCTGCAATATTGCCCAAAAAAATGCAATGAGTTAATTTACAAATTTTTCTGAACTTTCCTCTACTAATTTTGTTTTATACAATTTTACTTTTCGTACAGTTTGCTCATGGTGTTACGGTTATCATACAGAGCACTTGGGAATTGAAAATGAATTGGCGAGAAATTCAAGAACGGGTGCAAAAAGTACAGAACTAATATAGTTTGAATGCCTATGAAGTACAAATGCAAACGAGTAAATTTAATGGTGTGTTCTGGAAATCTAGATTCAAAATTACATGTTTTATTTTAATGTAAAATAAATAATGAATAAAGTTTTAATAAGTTACAATAACTAATAACTATAATTTCATTTTATTTTTCCTCCAATGTGATCAAATTGTTATAATTTAACTAGTCTTTTAATTGTATACATTTATATTAATTTATGAACTCTGTTTATTATGGCAGAATTTGAAAAATTAGCTTTTTTAATATTTTAGCCGTTCATTAAAAATTCAGTTACCCGTAATTAAAACATGTCACTTGCAGAGTTTTTTTATACTCTTTCACAAGTTCTTTTTATACTTTATTGTGATTCTCTAAAGCATAAACTTTAGAAAAATCTTCATTAGTTTTAGAGATATATCAGCAGCTTAAAATTAGTTGTGGAAATACGTTTTTTTTAATGGTCAATTTTTTATAATATGAACATTTTCAATTTCAGTATCAATTTTGAAAATTATTGGGATACCTAAGTTATTTCATTCAACAATATTTTACAGGATACTAAATACTTTGTAGGTCTGTGGTCACAGATAAAGGCTCTATTCTTATAGTATAACTAGTGTTCCAGTTGTTGCAATGTAATTATTGATGGGTTTTAAAAATATTAATGTAACCATTTCATGTTTTGTAATTCAATACAATTAAATTTTTTTCTTGATTTCTTTAATTTTATTCTTAAATATTTTAGTTGTGGTACTGAATTTTTAAAAAAAGTTAACTCAAGTTTAACATTAAAGTCATTACATTAAACAGATTATCTATGAAGTTATTCACTCTCCACAATTGTGTTTAAAAATATAAACTCTCCTCCGGTAATCTAATAATAAACAAGTTTAAAGAAAATGTATTGGTAGGTTCACTTTGCTCTGATCTGACAAGTTATAAAATTAATAATTTCCCAATTAATTAAATTGTTATTCATGCTTGAACTTGAAGTATCCTTTGATTAACTAGATTTCTTTGTTGTAGCTACAATTGTATCTCTACACTTGTAACTTATTTGTTGGAGAATTTCTATCACCAGCTAAGAAATATCCCTATATACTTTACTGTTTCTAATGGTTTTGGAAATAATGTATTGTTTTTTTAAATCTTTCAATGTAATTACCTTTCAATGTAAATATTGTGCTTTGAAGAAAATATTAATATGCAATAATTAGATTTCTTCCATTTTTCACTTTGCTTTACAGATTAAATATTAAAAGAAAAAAGTGTATTTTTGTGTTTTAGGCACTATCTCACAGTCTACATTTAAAGATAAATTTTGGTTTGGACTACCTACTATCTGACTTTAAAATATGCATGCTGACACAGCCCACTTTGGCTCAGACAAATAGAGGACTGATCACATTCATGACCTTTGCCCTCATCTCGAAATAATTCGACATCATTGCTGGCACCAAACTGCAAATGGTGTCCACATGTCTATATGTTATGATAACGTATGGCCACATAAAATTGTTCTAAAGCAGATCAGGTGTAACCAGTGTTAATGTATGAGATTATGATTTTCTTCATAAATAAACAAGAAAACTAAAAGTCATAAATTGGTGATAAATTTGCACATGACTGGCTTAAATGCAAAGCTCTAAGTATTATCAAGGAGAAATTTCATTGATAAATACTTTGTTTTGAAAAGTTTAACAGAAATTAATTTTACATATCTACATTACTGTTGTATTTATTTGACTCAAAACAGCTGAACGTGAAATCTAGAAAAACACAACAAAAATGTATCATAACCTTTTTAGTAATTTATTTTATATACAAAAATAATTTAATTTTAATCATTTTTGCTTAGGTTTCTTTTTCTTGTTATCTTCTTTCTGTGGCTGAATTGAAACTGAAATGAACATGTTATAACAATGAATAAAAAATATTCTAACTTATGGAACTATTGTAAGATGCCTAGATTAACTTTTAAAAATTCATTTAAAAAAAGTAAATAAAACATTTTTTCTGTAACCCATTTTATATCAAGACTATTACACTGCTAATATTACATTAGACTAATGGCCACAGTAAAATCTATTCTATTTTTATCAGCTACCTTTAAAATCATGGGTCACTGCGCAGGAGGTTTGACCAATTATTCAAAAATTTAAATAAACATTGTTTAGATGATTGTGGTAAGGGCCACTTAGCCCAGTCAATAATATGGCCAATCAATTTCTTGCGCATTATTTATAAAGACATCTGCATCATCGATCACCATGTACAAGAGGGGTACAATGTGTTAAATATGTTGAGATTGGCCATTAGCACCGAGCAAACAGATTTAGAGAAGGGAATAATAGCAGGGCAGCCTAAACTAAATACCGGTATATCAAAATGTACCACGAGATTGTGATGTCACAAACCAACAGAAATATGGGCTCAAAGAAGTCCAACCCAAACAAACAAACCCACGTTAAGTATTTTAAAAGGGTGTTTAAAGTTTTAAAAGGTTAAGGTCTCAATGAAATTCAAAATAAAAAGACAATAATTTTTTTTTTTAAAGAAATTAACCCTTTTTTTGTCTACTCCTTCCTCTTTCAACTGGCTCAGACTTCTCGATGTCTCCATTTAATTTTCTTTTTTTGCTTGGATTCTTTTTAGGTGATTTTTGTGGTTGTTCCATGACAGCATCATCTTCTTCTGAGTTGCTGTCTTCTTCTATCACTCTGCTGTCTGCTTCTTCTTTTTTATTATCATCACCAGCTGCTTCCTCTACTTTTTTTGATTTTCTTTTCTTTTTAGCTTTGAGTGCTAAATTTTTCTCTTTTTTTTCTGTCAGGGTGCAAGTGTAAGAAAATTTTGACAAAATTTAAAATAAGCAGTTTCATTCAAAACAAGCTAATAAAACAGCACCTTTAAGCAAACTTTTTCTTTAATATATTGTACATTGACATTGCAGTTATGAAATAACAGATTGGGTAAATAAATTGTAAAGTACATAAAAATGTAGGAAGTCATAATTAATAAAGTTTACCATTGCTTTGAATCACAGCTGAATGATTATATGCAGCAAGGCAAGTTACTCTAACCCTGGTTTCATAAAACAAAACTAACTCAACAACCTCTTGACTCTAGAATGAAAAAAGGCAAAGAATTTATTTAATCTTTCTTATAATTCAATTTAACAATACTGCACCAAATCCTGTTCTGCATCGTTGGAATGATTATTATAATTTACATTAAACTGTAGTTAGTAGATCAATGATTTGTTTTATTTTAAAAAACCATAACCTTCGCTTTTCATTCATTATTAGTAAACAATAACAATAAATCAATTATTAAATCTCACTAGTCATAGTTAAATTCAATGTACCGGTATAATACATTTTAGTCTTATCAATTTTATATTACTTTGTACAAGGATAAAAGTCTACCCATTCAATTACAAAAGTTATAATTTTTCTTATAAATACTACCTCCTTCAAGCTGACTTTGAACATCATTATGTTTCCAATAGCAGTTCCAGCAACAACGAGCTTGTCCTCTTCATTATTTACAACACAAACACTTCGTACACGGCTAAAATATATTAAAATTGGTAGAGTCCATATATTAAACAAAAACATCATCAAATGCAAAGATTAAAATTTAAAAAAAAATATTACAATTTACAACCAACCTGCAGTGTCGTCAAAAAAAAAAATCAAATAGAAAAATAATTTATAAGGCTGAAAATCTGGATTTTTAAATTAGACCTTTGTCAAAGTGATTAAAAACATATTTAAACTGATAACAAACTGAGTTCAGTAACATCAGTTAACTGCTGAATTAACACTTTAAAAAGCGTGTGCAAAACAGCGTTTGTGAGCAAGGAAATATACAAGTAAGATTTTAACTTAATAAAAGCAATGTCAGTAATACAACGAATGTTCACCTGTTAAAAGTTTTATCCCCAGGCTTGGCACAGTCTAATGATAGCACCTGCTTGCCACTCAGAACATCAAAAATTATGACATTTCTATCATCGCCACCAACCGCAATGAGATTACCCTGAAAAAAATATTTTAATCAGTCACAATTTTCTTTATTAATGGTTCTTGTGTAACAGAATTTGGGGTAAAAAATAAGGAGAATAGCAAGCTAAGAAAAGAGACTAAAATAATATTAACAATGAACTTTCTTTTACCAAATTAATTGCGTTAGACTGCTATGAACAGGTGCAGTCTGTATAATTAAAAAAACCTAGTCGACTGATGTGTAATTAAATAAAAGAATTTACATAAGATATAATCACAGATTTTCTTAAAATATATGATGGTGAGCATCAAAGTTGTAGTGAAGTTCTTGCATTTGATGTGACTTAAATGCTGTCCTGATCATGATTTGCATTGTAAAATGCTGGATCACAAGACATAAGTCTAGATAACATGCCTCAATATTTGAGTAGGTTGAATTAATATGCTAAGAAGTTAACTTCAGGAAATACTTCCCTAACCTCAATGAAACAAACAGAATTGATCCTCCATGCTAAAGGTATTTCTTTCACTGTGGAAGTATCCTAAAAAAGAGAAAATAAATTTTGAAAAAACTTTAAATATATCCTTTAATTTATCTCTTCTTAAAAATGACCATTTATAAAACTATCCACTCACCTCAAGCGAGCAAACTTCAATCTTTCTTTGGTAAACCAAAATATAATGGTCACCACTATTTGTAAATAAAACAATCTGTGCCACTGAAAAAAAAATATAAAAAAAAAAATTGAGCTCTTTATTTCTTTTTTTGTATATTTGATCCAATCAATTCCAAAAAAAGTTTATTTCAAGATACAGGCTTACTAAAATGTATAAAAGTATTCTTTAAATCTCTATTATTTAGGAGTTAACAAAAGCATATGTTTATTTACATTCTTTTAGTCTTCTTTGAAATGCCATCTTCCCAGTGACTAGGTCCCATGTCAAAAAACTTTTGTCGCTGCCAACTGAAAGGCCAAGTTTTCCACTGGGGTGTACAGCTATGGACATCACATGAGATCTAAATGGTTAAAATTATAAGAGAGAGTCAAAAAATATTTTCCTCCAATTTCAGTTAAGATAAAAATAAAAACACAATAATTTCCACATTCAATACATCTACTTTAAAATTTGTATTACTTTAGCTCTAAACAAAGTGAAATACAAAGTGAATCTACTAACAAACATAATAGACTGAGATATTAACATTATTAATGAAGGCCCCGTATCTTAATGAAATAAGACATATACCGGTAATTACTAAGGCCTTTCTTGAATTTTCACACATAATGTTAAATTGACAAAAGGAACAGTCATATCTTAAAACCAACTTAAGATCATGAATCAATTTTTAAATTATTTATGAAGGTCCTATATTTTCATAAAATAAGACATATAAGTACTTATGACTTTTCTGAATGCTTACACATAAATGTTAAATTTTCATTGAGGAACTAACTGTCATATCTTAAAACTTACTTATGGCCTTTTAGAGTGCGGAGCATTTCCCAGTTTTTACTTTTCCACATACAAATATTTCCATCTTCACTAGCTGAAAACATGTGGCTTGTTCCATAAAATGTGAGACAATTTACTGTACCTAGGGACAATTACAATATAAATGAAATATATTATACTCAAATAAAATTTGATAAAAACATAAACAATTTGTTTTTTAATTAATATATTTTTAAGCCATATAATTAAGCCTGGAAAAACATTAATTGGAGCCTACCAGTATGTTCAAAAAGGCCTCCAATATCCCTTCTTTTATTAAGATTGTGCAGCCTTATAGAATCATCTGTGCTACTGGAAGCTAGAATGCCAATTGGTGAAACTCCAATTGATCTTAAAGCACCTCTGTGAGAGTCATCTGTAAAGCTTACATCCAGGCTGTAAAGCTGGGTGTAAGTTGATTTCGTTAGATATACATTCTAAAATCATCTAATAATTAATCATATTTAAATCATGCAGCTCCTAAACATACTGTGCAACCCTCCAAACTAATTGAAAAAAAAAACAGACTAATACAAATAATTATAAACTAAGCACTAATTCATTTCAGAAGATCTTGAAACAACCCTCCCCAACCTTCTAAAAACTGGAAAAAAAACTAGCTAATTTCTAACAATTGGAAAAAGTCTGGTCTGAAATTGTTCTGCTTTGCCTTTACTCCCTGCCTTGCCAATTATTATATTTAGGTAGAGAGCATTTCCAATATGATGTTATTTCATATTGAAGCGTTATATGATCCAGATGAGTAAATCCAATTTGTCCTTAAGCCTTAAGTAAAGGTAAGATAAGGAAACAACATACTCATAGCATATAATATATAGGTAACGGTACTAAAAAAATTTCCTCAGAGCATCTGAGCACAGTACCAAGTTTTGACTATTAACATTCACTCCTGTGTTTGTGTCCTAAAGCAACACAACAGTTACTACACTAGACTACACTATTTAGATTGTAAATAAATAAATGCAGGGACAAAACAGTTGCCTAGTATAAATAGTAAGGTACCTCCCTCTATTGGTAAGTATACATTTGTATAACAGGCCTACAGTATAATCACAATGTCCATTTACTAAATTTACAACAGCTCTTCTCTTGCTACCTATATAGTAAGTTTTAGTCATTTTATTTAGTGCTACTGTTTATTTAGGGTAGTACTAGTAAGACTTTCTTAAGGACTTTACTTGTATTGCTATTTCATTACTGTCAACACTCCGTGTTGAGCGCGTCTCAATCATAAGTGGAGTCAATGTCAGTCATTCAAATTCAATCAATTAGTTCAATTAGGATGAGTTAGGTTAAGACTTTGATGGTAATCAGATTACCGACTTTGATTAAATGATTAATGGAATAAGTAAATTAAGTAATAAGTAAGGCTAGTATTAAATTTACTGGGCAGGGGCGTAATTTGGGGGGGGGGGGGGGCAAAACTTGGTTGGCTTGTTTTTTATAACTGCAGAGGCCATAGAACATGGCAATTTAAATAAAACCTGTATATTCGAGGGGGGAGGGCTAATACCCCACCCTGCCCTACCCAAATGACTCCCCTGTAAATGTTACTGAGAATACTCAGAATAGTATTAGTAGTATAATGTTATAATGGTTTCTAAAACGGCTAATGTTACTAATGTTAATTTAAATAAGTCAAAGTCTAGACTAAATCTTACTTCATTCTTTGTTTTGATCACTTTATAGCCCAGCATTAAATTCTCATATGTGCCAATAACGAGCTCTATATTCTCCATTTTCGAATTACATCAAATTAAAATAGTGCGAAAGTTGGCAGTATTCTTTATTTAGAATATGCCTTTACATGGACTATTCACTATTCAGTCTCTCGGTGTAAACACAACGCTACTTTCGATAATAAGCTACTTCCGTCTCTTCAGTTCTTCACGTGCGATAACAGTAAATCTAAATACCGTAAAAATAATACAAAGAGAAACGAAGAAATTAACCTGATGAGTGACGCAAAATGTTCTGTTGTATCAAATTAAATCAAATTAAATACTATATTAAACGATATTGTAATATAAATTAGCACAAAACAATAGTTATTGAAAAACAGAAATTTCGTAAAATGAAAAATAAATATTTGAAATATCAATATTGTCATTTTTTTATTGACCCCTATAATGATATACGTAATTACATTGAAATGTTTAGAGCTGTTAGGTTCTAAGGTCTTTTAAAAAAAATGTAAATACTGAAATGAAGCTAGAGAGTTGCTAAAATTTAAATATATTTGTCTATTGTGATAACACGGTGTTCCTTGTTTACAGATATCCCACCGCCCACCAATAGAATAGTAATAGTTAAATGAATGTTTAACAAATTGTTTTTCCTTTCTTTTTTTTTTTTTTTTTTTTTGTTTTTTTTTTTTTTTTTTT